AATATATATATATATATACTGTTAACACACACACAAAATAATAACAATGCAAAAATTTATATACATTAATATATTTTTGCTATATATATATTTTTTTACACATGGACAATCATTTAGAACAGAGTGAAAGTGTGAACATTTCATTAAATATTCAGGAAAATGTTACAAAAATTTGGAGTTTTTCCTAACTAAAAAAATAAAGCAACAAAACAGCAGTTGTTTTTTACACTTAAAGATATGTTGACACTTACAGAAAAAAAGAATAAATCTGGAAGCAGCAAATAAGCTTTAGAACAAGCCGCTACTGACTGACCTTCGTAGCTGCAGGCGCTGTGCAGCAATTCACCCTCAAAGTTTATAACAGATATTATATTCTGGTGGTAGCAGTGGCGTAACAATCGCCATGGCGACCCGGGCGGCCGCTATGGGGACCCTGGCGGGTGTGAGGAGGAACGTGTCCCTGTTAGATCACTGACAATCTGTCAGTGATCTTTCAGCGGCGCGTTCCTCCCCACAGCCGCTGCTGTGCCAGTGACAGTCAGCAGCTGCGGCGGAGGATGCTGAGCCCAGCGTTCGCAGCAGAGGAGGAGGCGGGGCCCAGCGACAGAAGAGGAGGCCGGTGACATCAGAGGAGGAGGGGCCTGGCGATGGAAGAGGAGACAGAACCTGGCGATGGAAGAGGAGGCGGGGCCCTGTGCAGGAAGAGGAGGCAGACAACGGATCGGGGCTAACAGGAAAGAGGACCCTGCAGAGCCCCCCATAGAGTCTATGTTGGACTCTGCAGGGTCATTCTCAGGTGAGCTGTTTGGGATCTGAGGTGAGCTCTGCAAAGGATGTAAGTAGAAATCACAGGGCCCCATACAAAATGGGGCCCTGTGATTTCTAGTTACTCCCCTGGGTGGTAGTATTTTCTCAGCAAACTTAGTGGTTACTTGCCAGTCTACCAGCCTTACAATGTAAACACAGTCCTCCTTCTCCTCCTCCTCCTACTCTGTGTTTTACACAAGATAGCTGAGAGACTGCCAAGTCACTGCTGGGAGAAAGAGGAGGCAGACCTGAACTGCAGAGAAACTGACTAGAACCTGACTACAGTGCCTTTATTATGAACTTTGAGAATAAATTGCTTTACAATGCCTGCAGATCAGGGGATAGTGATGGGGTTGTCTAAGGCTTAAAATGTAAATACTGGAATATCCATAGCCTGGCCACGGGTGCACTCCAGACCTCTGTGGTCCATTGCATGCTAATGTGCATTGCATTAATGCAGCCCATTAATTTTGATTGTGTGACAATGGATCAGCCAGATCTGCAGCATTTTTTTACAACATGGCATGTGTGTTGCTGGCTACTGTACCTGTGCATTGGGGTGCAATTCTGAATGGTATGGTTTCACGATGTGCTGGTCATCGTGTTGTGTGTTACCACAACGCGTAGATGTGAAACCAAACTGTGACATGTGTGCTTACTCACAGACCACCCAGATGATTTAAGTAGCACAAAATCAATCACAGCATTGTCACCATCCCTGTACAGTAATGGTGGATCTTGGTATATGTTGTTGGCATTTTTGGACACAATTGTTTTGTTTTGTAGTTCTTTGCTGCGCTCCCATACTTCTCATCGGACAGTTCATCATACTACCAAATCCTCAGTGACAAGGATGGATACAAACATATTCATAACATCCAGGATTCTATGGTAGGTGACACCTTAAGGATATTTAGGAATGATGTATGCAGATTTGTTTGCTGTGTGGATGGTTCATTCACACACTATGAAAACATATTGCAGCACATGTGCTAGTTATAGAATATCACTCCCTTCTCTAATAGGAGAATGCTGTTCAAATAACAAGTGGACAATGGGAAGTGTCCAATCTACTCTATGTTACAGATAATGCAATGTAAGTGTAACGTAACATTTTTAAATGTCATGTTTTGTCCTTTTTTTATTGCTATATTTATAGTGGTTTAATATTATAATTCCATGGTGTGATCCTATCATCAAATTTAAAACAGATTTATCAGTATTTAAAGTGGAGCTTTACTTAATACCTTTTTTTAGTTTAAAACCCAGCCCCAGACAATTTTTGTCTGACAGAGCATGGAAAGGTTATAGCTTTTGTGTGGTTTTTGTGTCATGAAATTTTAATATTTCTTTTACCTGCAATTTTTTTAATTGGTGACAGGGACTCTTTAAAGCTGAAGTCTAACTATAGATAACAAACACTCTCAAAAGTGCAATCAGTCTAGCTGTCTTCAGGTTTTCAATGCACTTTGCTGGTCTGTCAGCCTGCTCCTTCGTCAGCTCCTACCAGTTATTGTCTCTGTAGTAGTCTAAATAAAAACATCAATGTCTAATTAGAAGAAGGTGGGGGTCCAGGGGCTTTAGAGATTTGCTTGAATTAAGACATAAAAAAAAATTGTAGCAGGAGAAATATGGTGGCTGCCATTGCTAAGCTCCATAGAGGATTACTCGTTCTTACCTCCCAACTTTCTGAGACGAGAAAGAGGAACAGCCTTTAGTCCAATGGGGTTGATTTACTAAAAGCAACTAAGCTGTTTAGCTTGCAAGGGAATTTGCACTATACAGGGGACGTTCCCCTAAGTTTAGTGAGTGAGGGGAAGCTCTGCTGACTTCCATCACCCAATCATGTGCAAGCAAATGATTGGGTATTCTTAGACTTGTGAATCTGTCTGCAATGCATTATGGGAAAATTACATAAAACATTAATTATGGAAAATGTATTGAATCTTTATTACAGTTCTAGGAACTCCTGGACACTATTAGCGATTCAATAACTTATCTCATCTGCAGCCTGAAGAGTTAGAAATCTTTGTTTGTGCTATATAACCCTTTAAATTATATGTCTTACAGATATTACACAAGTAATGAATATGAAGGTTTTCCAGGAAGCAGAAATATATATAGGTAGGTTCAAAGGAATATATAGAGTTCAGTATATGTACTCTCCATTTACTATGTTCCAAAACAATAAGATCATAGAAAAAAAATATTTTTGCTTAGGAATGTTTGACATTAATTATTTTTACCTAGAAGGGAACGATGGAGGCTCTTTTCACAAGTTTACACGGTTGATCCTAAATTCATTTTTTTTTCTTTCACTTCAGATGAAAAAGGGAACAGGTACAATCCACTTCATTCCGTCTGTGTCCCATTGGTACATTTCCCTTTACTTCCTGCCCTGTATGCACAAAAAAGTGAAAAGACCTCTTAAAATAAGAGAAATCTCACTGCCACTGGATCAAGTGTCTCCACTGGAGAATTTCGCCTCTGTCTTTGATTTCTTATCACATTGGTCACTAGGACAAATAGAGAGGGGCAATCCCCCAGTGGAGGCGCAAAGAGGATAGCAAATAACCTAACAGGGATTCTAAACCTTCACCACCAAAACTACAAAAATAAGAATTAACTTTAGATACACTTTGCCTAAAAAATAACCTGTTTACAGAGCTGAATAGCTGAAGCTCTTATGATATACACAGCTGACTCCTAGGAGTACATTAGATACTTTGTTTTGCATCTGGATCAAATACACTGGATCTTTTGGGTTTGAGATTATTATTTTTGGTTTTCCTTTGGTTAGGGGGTACCTTACTAAGGCTGTTACAGGCTATTGTGTCACAGAAACAGATTTAGGAGCAACATGTACACTTGCAGTATATGAGGGTGCATGTCTGTTATGGGCACTGGGACTAACATTGTTAGGGGATTATTTGAAAGAACACAATGGACATTACATATAATTCTCATATCTGTCTAGTCCAAGACCTCCTTCTAGCACCCCCAAAAAAAGGTGGTGGGAGTTAGCTCTGTTGAATAATAGGAACACTGCACTTCCATTTCCATTGGTAATCATCATATTCTTATATTTTCTAACAGAATTTCACCAAAAGGGCCCATCAGAGACAAGCAATGTCTTAGTTGTACTATACGAAAGGCAAACTGTCAGTATTATTACGCCAGATTTAGTACTAATGCCAAGTACTATTCTTTGTATTGTTATGGTAAGTATATGCTAACACAGATTTTCAATCTGCAGTAACCACACCCTGATGATTGGGTATATTCTTCTTTGTTAAAGGATAACTTATTATATTGTATCTTACCTGTCCTTAGATGTGGTGGCTGCATTCTTTTTTTCAGGCTAAGAACATTTTCAGGCTAAGAACTATTAGATTGTAAGCTCTCACATGCAGGGCCCTCCTAACCCTATTGTACTGAAATTGTATTGTAACGGTACTGTCTCCCCCATTTTGTAAAGAGCTCCGCAAACTATTGGTGCTATATAATTCCAGTATAATAATTATAATTTTTGGCATGTACAGAAAATACCTGTTGATCTTGTCAGAAATGCAGTGTCCTTGTCGCTGCCTGTTAGATGTAATAGAAGCAAAAACAATGTCTTCCTTCTTGTGTAAACTACTAATCATCACCTAAACCTCACCCCTCCAGTGATGGAGTTCAGCCTAGGTTGCAACCATGGCTCCTTTCATAGATACAGTGGAAAAATGAGCATAGATACCCATAGGGACAGGAAGAGAGTCTGAAAAAAAAAGAACGAATGCAGCCACCTCAACTAAGGGCAGGTAAGCTGCAATATATTACATTTTTGGGGGTGTAGATATACTTAGCAGTAAATGCATCATGTAGGTAGATGGTCTATTTAAACTATTAGATTCAGGTCACACGCATTGAAATACAGGTCATCTCAACGCACCTCAATACTTGTGTCTTGGTTGTCTGGTATTACATGGCTTATTATTATGAATGGCCCCCCAATGCACTATTAATAGAGGCCGACACACATTCAAGGCAGTGCAGCATAAGGCTCATGTTACACATTGTGTTTGGCTGCAGTAGCAAAAAAGGGTGCTGTGTATTTTTTTAATGAGCTAGGCTAGCTTAACCCCTTCGTGACGGGAGACGTACAGTGTACGTCCTGTCACTTTGTGCCTATATGACTGGCCACGTACACTGTACGTGACGAGTTATATCAGGCTTTGTAATGCCGGTATTTGCTGATTCTCAGCATTTAACAGTCATTCATTAATGTCTCAGTATTGAGGCATTAATTAATGAAATAATTAAGCTTTTTGTAAAAGCTTCTTCCTTTCATTAATGAAAGAATGAAGCCGTTACATGCAAATAGAGGACCGCAATTTGCGATCCCGTATTTGACAGCTCAAAATAGCAGAGAGGCAGCAGTGACTCACCTCGCCTCTCTGCTATTTGTTTTGACAGCTCGAGAGACTGGTCGGCTCAGTAGATCGGGAGGTGAGCGAACACATACCAGGTTCGCTCACCTCTTGATCCTATCACTGCTCTCTGCCGTGGCAGGGGCTGAATTCCCCTCTCCCCGCTCCGATCTGCCAGCGCTGACTGGCGGAACGGACGGGGGAGGGGGCGGGTACAGCTGGCTCTGCCTCTAGATAGGCAGAGCCAGCTGTCACTCACGCAGCTGGGCGGATCCCGTCATCTACGTCGGGATCCGCTCCGGCTGCGGCGTCTCAGTATACCGCGAGCTGTAGCTCGCGGTATACTGAGCTTAGGGTAACGGGAGGACGCTAGTTTGTGTCCTCCCGTTACCCTAAGGAAAACTATGGGGAAAAACACTGACCCCATAGTTCTCCTTTAACACAACACATGTTAACCCATGATACAATGCTCAAACATAACACACTATAACGAATCCAGTCAGGGTTTATAGTAAACCTATCATGAAAGAAATATGGGGGCTGCCATTACTTGGGTGCTTCTGAAACTGCTGACTCCTCATTCTGCAGATGCTAGTTGCCTAGCTGTCATTCTGATCCTCTGGCTTTAATACTTTGAGTCAGTGAACAATAACAAGTATGCTAGATGATACTGGAAAAATTATATACACAATGAGGGGGTGCTGGTAATTAATATACATCTAAAATAAGGTGTCAACACCAAGGGGTGCAGGGTAGATACAGGATTTAAAGTGGAAGTAGACCCAAAACTTGAATGGTCTTGCAAAACAGTTACTTTTAAGGCATACCGACTGTCATGGTTACCAGTATGCCTATTTCCACTCAAATGTCTGGTGTCATAGCTGATGACATGTGCAGCACCATGGCAACTGCAATATAAAAAGAGGCTAAGATGGCACCTTCCTTGGCTGTAAAGGTTAAGAGGTTTTATTTCCTCTTTAAGAAGAGGGCATATGCTTCAATAAAACTGATAAACACTTCCTATCTTGTCTAAATAAGGATCATTCCTTCTCCTTGAACTACAGGAAGCCTGTCCCTGGCTTTATGCATTTTTATATTTAAGAAGAGATGTTTTTTGTTGTCCATAGCAAACCAACCATTTACATTTGTTTCCTTCTACAGGTCCGGGGCTACCTATAACCACTATTCATAATGGCACCACTAATAAAGGTATTTATAATGGTTTTATGGTTTAATTACATTTGTGATTATGCAGTTAGGGATAAGGAATGAGAAAGGTATGCTAACCCATAACAAACAGTCAAGGGGTTTATTTATATTATTATTATTTTATGTTATGTTATATTATTTTATGTTATATTATATTATGGTATGTTATATTATGTTTTCTCACAAGATTTACACAACCTTCACCAAGGATTTACAATTTTTCCTAATTGAATTAATTTAGGAAAATGTGTGAATCATGGGTAAAGCTGCGTGAATCTTATGTGGAAAAAAATATCTTATCTTTTATTAATCTGAATACAGAAAATTGTAAGTTGCTTTTGTTTTTTTCTGTTTTCCAATTTGTAATCCATTGCAAAATGCATTCTGTATCCGGATTCACTTCTCAATTGAGCAACGTAGGCAAAAAATCATCATCATCAGAATTTTACCATTCTTCCACAGGAAATCCAGCTCATAATAGTATACCTCATGTTTATAAGACAGCCCATGATGTATTGATTTTATCAGGGCTGTGCCAACTTTTGCCGCACATTCACTATGCAGAAAATAAATGTTTTCCTTTATTTGCATGTGGCCACATTCACCGTCTGCAACTACCCTTTGAAGTCTGTATAACTGCTGTAATCTTTCCATATAATTTTATAAGTATACTCCTATGTTACAGATCAGCAAACATTATTGTGTTGTGTCATTCCACAATGTGGCCTACAGATGTCTCCTTTGTAATCATCTTAGATAGTCTTCTGTGCCTTTAAAATGTAGCGAGTATATATCCTGTACATATAGAATTGGTTCTTTCAGTTATTTGTAGATTTCAACAGAACTTGCAATTTTGATATTTCCATCAAACTTGACCTTAAAAAGTGTATGTCGAGCTAAAGGTTTGGCTCCAACATGACTGCTTACATGTCCTGTGGACAGAAGTACCACATGTATGCTGCAATGGATTGGCACCAGGAAAGAAAAATTAAAGGTGAGTATGATACAATTTCCATTTCCCTTGTGCCAACATGGCAGCATACATGTGGTACTCTTGCCAACAGGACCATGCCATGGATTGCTTCCATGAAAGGTAAATTATATGTAAGTATGATACAATTTTACACTTTTTTCTAGTTTTGAATAGGATGGTGAAGGTTTAAAACTCCTGTTAGGTTTTTTCTGCTATACGGTGGTCCACTAGGGAGATACGCCCTCATGTCCTGTCCTTCTGAAAACTATTTCACCAAAGAGGAAGTGCGGAAAAACCATGGTATAGCAATAAAATCCAATAGAACTTCAGGCATTTTTATTTTTTTGGGAGAGTTCCCCTCACTTCCTATCTAAAAAAAGTTGTCAGCAGAACAAGAAGTGAGGGTAAATCTTTCTAACAGAGCCCTGGATAGCAGTAAAAACCTCACAAGGGTTATAACTAGGGATGCACCAATACCAGTACTAGTATCGGTATTGGTGCTGATGCTGAGTATTTGGGCGAGTACCCGTCCTCACCCAAATGCTCCGATACTTACCCCTGATACTGGAACTTCTGGTCAGAGGGAGATTTCCTATGACCAGCACTGACTCGAGGGAGCATGAAGTCTGCCTTCTGGCCAATCAGAAAGCTAGGCAGCGGGTAATAACTCGCCGCCCGGCTTCCTGATTAGCCAGGAAACTGGCTCCATGCTTCTTGGCCGGCTCAATGCTGATTGCCTGGGAAGTCAGCTCCATGTTAGCGGTATCAATACTCGGTATCAGCGAATACCAGTAGATAAATATCGGTACTCATATTTAATACTAAAAAATCTGGTTTCGGTGCATCCCTAGTTATAACCCTTCACCATTCTATCCAAGACTAAGAAAAACATTTTGGATGGACATACACTTTAAAGAATAATTGCACTTTAGGACAAAGTGCACTTATACTTTCTGCATTTTGTCCTGACCTGCAGGTGTGGTTAGGACAGTAAGACTAGTGCCACTCGGGGTTAAACAATCACAAGAGGTCATGACCACCGAATGCTGTTTTCTGGACCCTATCACTAGTGTGGTAACTTTACTCCTATCTGTTAGGCTTGCTCCTAGGACAGCAAAACTTCAAGGGGCATAAACCTAACCATTGCTTCATTCTCTGACAACACTTCCATTTTTTATATATACGAAGAAACAACACCAAATTCATATTTCAATCTATGAATATTAAATCGATATTTTATGAAGTACATGGAACTGTGATCACTTCACTTCATTTATTGAGGTAAATTTTATTTAGAGCTCAAGGTACTAGAAGACAACAGCAAACTGGGAGAGCGCCTTCGAACAGTACGGATGCCTGAAAACAAAATTGAGAATTTTAAAAGCAATGGGATGAGTATGATCATTTTTTTGTTATATTCTTTATTATCTACCTTCCTTCCTGCTGGTGCAATACTGCTAATCACCAATAGATACTGACATGAAAAAGAGTATTTCAATGCCTGTTCAATGACTGTTAAGGCTCATAGTGTTACTTCAACTAAAAATGAATTAAATATACAGTATATTTGGATCTATTTGATGTCTGCCTAAAGTAATGTCTATTTATCTTTTTTTCCAGCATTCTGGTACAAGATGACCTTTCCACCACACTTTGATAAGTCAAAGAAATACCCTCTCCTGATTTATGTGTATGTTATTTAAATAGTATACAGCAACATAGGAGCAAGACAGCCTGATAGGAGCTGTGCTTATAAAAAGGTTGTTAGAACAGAAATAAGGGAGCTGCCATTGATAACATGTTTTTTAAAGGCGCAAGCTCCTCGGTTTTCATCTTTATCCTCGTCTTAACCCCTTTCCGCCCACATAACATTCTCCAGCATGATGCCCATTACAGGGAATGAAATTTATACTAAAAGTGGTAGCACTGTCAGTATAAAAGTTTAAACTAGTAGGAAGAGGTATCCCATTCGGTACCTTTGGCGAGCTGGTTAAATGGTAGCTGCTGCAGTGGTTTATGGGTGAGCAAAGCTAAGGAAATGTAAATTATGCCAACAAAACACTGTATTGTGGAATTAAAAATCAATATGTGGTTATCAGAATGGCATTTCAATTCATCTAAATCAGTCAAAAGGTACTTTTGCTTCTGAGGTAAAGCTTGTTATTATACAAAATATTGTACACTGGTTGTACACTGGAGATGTATGTTTAGGAGGTAAACTTTTATTAGCTTAAAGAGGTTTTCTACTATTTGAAGAGTTTTATTGAATCCTGCCTTCAACCTCTTTATGAATAAAGATAAAGGGGCCACATCCTAAACCACAGCCCTCGTAGCAATTACTTTTTTTCACACGTTGATGTATAGGTAGCTCGAGATGAGCAATTAGGCTTCCCCTCCCTAATTCACTAATCATGAAATAATCTATGATGTTTTTGCATGACCTGTGCATTACTAGCCCAACTGTAATCTGATAACATGAGCAAGCTTTCTTGAGGGATAAAGATGGATTCAAGGGTGCAGATACCAATAACAAAGTATGCTGTTATGTATCTTACATTTGCTTTTGACTTCATTTGGTTAACCACATATCTATGCTACAATGCAATGCTTTTACCATTATTATATATTGTTTTAAACCAAATGATGTAAGCTGGAATTCTACTTTAACACATCTTTAAGGTATGGAGGGCCCTGCAGCCAGGAAGTGACAACCGCGTTTGCATTTGGTTGGAGGACATATCTCTCAGGCTCAGAGGACATTATTGTTGCATCAGTAGATGGCAGAGGAACAGCTTACCAAGGGGATAAGTTTATGCATGCTGTATATAAAAAGCTGGGATCACTGGAGGTTGAGGATCAGATATTTGCTGTAAGGTGAGTTTATGTTATTATCATTGTAAAACACAGTGTTCAAATAATTACTATTGTATACTATCCAGTACCAATGAATGCTATCAGATGTGTGATTGTGTAGAGCTGAGCAAAACTGAGAGAGATTTACCAACCATTTTGGCTAAATGCTTTGGAGTTGATGGGAAAGGTGAAATGAAGGTGTTTGTTGGTGGTTTTTAAAGGTAGAATAGACTTAAAATGGCTATTTTGGGTCTATTCATGTGCCACAAAATGGGCCTCCATTGGCTTCGGTATTTTACACCCCCCTGCAGTTTACAGCATCCCATGGAGGACTGGACTCACTCATAGGAGCGAAAAACCTTCCATGAGTGCATGCAAAACAGCAAGAATCTGCTAACAACTCTTTCTCCTTGAGCGTGTAAATCTGACACTTGAATTGTGGGAGTAGAGTAGAATAGAGAAGAGTAATGACATAGGAGCCTCCCAGTTTAAGCTATTGTATAGAATACTGATATTTTATTTTAAGGATCATATTTTATTCTGCACGCGAATAAAAACACTTGCTAATCATGCTGGCTGTCCGGTATGGATTAAAAGTAGGTTCACAAAGAATCTCAAATATTCTAGGCTGCCAAAATTCATTATGCTGGATTTAGACTGAGGTTTCCTGATGTATATCAGATAGCAGCTGAGCTGGGAAAGGGACATCAGAGAAGGTGGGAAAGATTACAGAGCATATCCCGGGATTTAGACATATTTCCGAACTTTATACCACTTCGCTCCGACAGGGGCCTTTCTGTGATATATTGCTTTAATTAGTGGAATGTAAAATCATTTTCATAAGCTTAATAGGTTATAAAGTCAAGCAGCTGGCAATGAAATTAGGAATGTAATTATATCAGAATGAACAAAGGCAGTGTTTAAGGAAGTGTGGCATCTACACTGGTGGTACACATCCTAACAGAGTGATGGTACACAGAAGGATTCTATTACATGAACCAGAGCCTGATGCTGGCAACATAGGGCAATTTCAACCAGTTTTTCATTGCAAGAATCATCAAATAGATTAATACATTCTACCACCAATGGTTTCTGTGGCCACCGAGAAATGATCTGAAGACTAGGTTATAAGTTGCCTTGACCTGTTCCGATGTTTTTACATTTAAAAGCTGTTTGAAAGTGGTTGAAATTGTCTGAAAATTGCTGTGTGTATGGCAATTATGGGAGAATATTTTCACTCCAATAGCATATACCAACGGCAGCCACTCAAGCAAGTGTGTTTATTTAAAGTATTGGTAAACCCTAAAAATGTTCTTCGCTTATTTGTTCCCTTTTGGTCTGTAAAATGTACTACTGAAAGCTTATGTTATATATGTTTGCTAAATATAATTAACTGTTGATCTTGCTGGAAATCTTGTGAGCTGATACATTCCTGTGCTTTCTACCTGTTTTGACTGTTATTAATTACATTGTTTTTTGAGGACCACAGAATCACTTCCCTCTGTGTTATGGACAATAGAAGAGGGACTGGGTTATGTGGTTCTATCTTTTTTCCTTTGTTCTGATACAGCAATGTGAGTGAATGTTGTCATCCAAGGACTGAAAGTGTCCTACAACCTTTTTTTAAAGACTGTTAAGCTGTAATATACTGTATTACATTTTTGGGCTCAGATACACTTTGATCAGCACAATAGATGGCTGCTTCACTGGTCTGGACTAACTTTTCAAGAGGAATGAAATACGTGGAGCAACCCTCAGGGAGGCAGGAAGAAGTGCTCGTATATACATAAAATCCTTTTCTAGACTGTATAATTGGCTGGGGCTGACAAGAGGGTCCATTTATAAAGTATTGGCATGACCATAGAAAAACATATTAATTTAATTTGGGAGACAGTACTTCTGTGCCAGCACCATATCAACTAATGACATTGTACAGCGAGAATACATGGAATCATTTGTTGCTATAGAGCTGGTGAATGTCCCACTAAAACTATGAAAATGCATGATGCTGATCTAGGGCGGATGTATCCCGGGCTGCCCCCAGCACTAAAAAGAGAACAGAAGGAAGTATTTATCTGGAGTTTTCTTCTATCCACACCTGCTCCACCTCCCACCCTCTACCATCCTGCCACATATATAGATGGCACCCAAAACACCTGATGTAAGTGACACTTCTGGAAAGGGGCTCCTGAATTGAAGGGGGTACTCTGCTATGAAAGGGGGGGGGGTCAAGGGTGGCAATGTTGAATGGTAAGAGTAGAGTTTACTGCACTGTTGAGCTTTAGGGGCTCTCTACAAATTATTGGCATGTCCCCCAAAATGTAGGTGTTTACCAAAGCACACACACACACATGGTAACTCACACACACACACACACACACACACACACACACACACATGGAGCCAGCCTTAAAAAGCATTTGCACCAATCTAGATGGCCAAGCTGTCTAATCCAGTTCACTCATATATATTTTAAATATGTTTTATGAAGTCACAGTATACAAAATGCCATTGTTCAGAGTTCTGTACTCATGTGACTGGCTGTATAAGTAAATGTGTTTTCGATCAGTGTATGTTATCTTTCATCCAGATAGCTGGTATGTTACATATTACCAGATCCAAGGTATTAAATAAGTCCACAGTTTTCACTTGTGATAATAAAACATATCGGTTTCAAACTTACCACCAGTGAATGGAGCATTGTTCCTCATTGAACTTGATCCTGTGCCAGCCTTCTCCAACAAGATGTAACGTCATATAAAGTAACCCCTATTTCATCACTTGGTTGTTAATGATCCTTGAGGTCACAGAATTACTCTTCAAGGAATAAACACTGAACTTTTAGGTTTACTGAATGGCACAAAACAGATGGAAACTATTAAAAGGAATGGATTACAGAGATGGAATGTGAACTTCATGGAACAGAGAGATGGCTGAATTTAATTGAAAGTAACATGATACAAAACTTACAAAGCTATGTATTTCTGTATGCTGTACATTACATACAGTGTACACTGCTCTCTCTCTCTCTCTCTCTCTCTCTCGCTCCCTCCTTTACTCTTATTCAGTTCAAATAAGGCAATCTATTCCCCTGTTGTTGATTAGCTGCATGCCATAGAATGCTGGCTTCTATAGTTCTACAACAATTAGAAATGTTGGATTTTAATTTCATCGATTTAGGTTATTCTATGTTTGCATATCATTGAAAGGAGAGTATAGAGTAGTAAAGATATGAACTGCTTGGCCTTATAGAAACAAATAGATAATATCTGCATTAATGTGCAGTGTGCTTTTATTAGGAATTGGTGTAGATCCAACTGTTTTTTTTTAAGAAATACATGTTCCCTGATATGTAAACATGTGTCAAAGCACGTGTAAACATTTAAAGCTGTATTCCGATCAGATATAAAAACACCATTTAAGTAATTATTTATTGAAAAAGAAATAAATATATTTTTAAAAGCATCTAGATATCATCCTGATGTAATCTCCTGTACAATAGAACTTAAGTAGGGTACACACGGTTCTGTCAATTCCTGATTAAACGGCCTCTTGGCACCGCTGTTGGCACCCTTCCATGAGCTGATTGAAGGAGCAGGTTGGAAAATCCTCAGCCAAATGGAGCTGGCAGCCAATCATCTTTGTTTAAGTATTCTGACAGTGGCTGGTGGCAGGGAAATTCGTCCATCAACGCTCATACGTGTTGATGGAGGAATTTCTTCAATTTTTGTTCAATTTTTTCAGCCCACGTGTTTACCCAACTTTAGCCTAGGACAGGGGCAGTCACAAGCAGCCCAATCAGATGATGCTGCATGTACATGTGCTGACAAGGAACATGGTAACAGTAGGAGAGAGTGTTATCAGTATGCTTCTGATCATTAACTGCCCAATGACAGGTTGAAAAAAAGGGAATTGACCATGTGTCTGAGTCTGTGCATTGGTCTCCTCTTTGTGATGCCATCACACTGCTGCAGTCTTCTGTATGCTGACTAACCCAGCTATTGGTTGGGGGGAAGGGTAAAGTATGCCTGGAGTCCAGCTTTAACTGCAGTACAAACATAAAGATCATCAACCTAGCTGTTCCATCTGGTGGGGCTGTGTAAATCTCAAGGGTGGTTAAACAGAATTACATAGCCTTTGACAGAGTAGACTCAATTGGTTGACTGACTTCATTGAATCATATTGCTGAAATTTTGGTTGAAAAAATTGTTTGGATTTTATAACTGAATCACACCTATCCAAAGGGTTAAAACATATTTTTCTTTAGCATGCCAAGCTGTCCAACAAAATGGCACATAGAGGGTTGGGACAAACTATTTAACACTGACAGGGGTGCTTACATTGGTCAACAAACCATTTAACACTGACAGGGGTGCTTACATTGGTCAACAAACCATTTAACACTGACTGGGGTGCTTACAGTGGTCAACAAACCATTTAACACTGTCAGGGGTGCTTACATTTGTTAACAAACCATTTAACACTGACATGGGTGCTTCCAATGGTCAGCAAAGCATTTTATGATAGGGGGGCTTACAATGGTCAACTTTTATTAAATTATATAAAACCTGTAAACCCAAAAAAACCTGTTGCTGAAACTGCTTAAAAAGTGTTAGCTGGAGTTCAGATTTAATTTGTTACTCAAGCCCACCTAAATGTGCTGGGGTCACCAAACACTACCCTCTCCACATTTTAACAATGCCACTGTCCACGGATGGCTCTGCTGCCCCTCTATAGAGTGGAGACACCATAAGACAGGACATGTGTTACTGGCCAGATTGCCAGGTAAAAACAAATAAAAAAGCCTAAACAAAGAAAACGAATGCAGCCACCACATTTAAGGACTGGTAAGCTTTAATATGATATTCCTCTATTTGGGTTTAGATATGCTTTAAGAGACTACAACAGGGGTAGGCAACCTCAGCACCCCAGCTGTGGTAAACCTCCAAACTACAAAACTACAAACTTCATTCCACAACAGCTGGAGTGCCAAGCTTGCCTACAACTAGACTACAAGGACCTAAAATGTGACCTGAGGGACTCGTGAGACGATGGGTACGTTTATTAAAAAAAAAATATTTCCCACTTCAGTCCACCATATTTGCTACTATGGAATGTAACCATAGGTATCATTTGAAGGAAAATCCTGGATGCATGCTAAAATCCACTGCATTGTATAAAAATCTAAAACATTAAACACAGCCACTAAATGCTCTCTGTCTCACTATCTTAATTAAATCACTTATGCAAACATGTAAATCAATAGAATCAACATCATATGCTCAAAAGATCACAATGATTATAATTATGAACAGATACTGGTAACTGTAGTCCTCATTATATAGGCATATAGACAGTTATAACAATGTGGGAAGTATTTTCCCTACATTCAATACCCTCATCAGGATATATGGATGTCTTTTTAAAATGTAAAAAAGTCATGAAAGCTATCATTTAATTTACTGTATTGTAGATTTTGTGCTTGAAGGAGGTGCCACTGTTAAGTTATAATTAATTGGCTATATTATTTGGCTTTATCATTTCAGAAAATTCATTGAAATGGGATTTATTGATGAAAGTCGAATAGCCATTTGGGGATGGGTAAGTATGTTGTATACGTGGTGTAATTATTTATAATCTTTGGTAGAAATCTTTTCATACAAATAATAGCTGCTGTAAATACAGTGTCTCTGAATCCTCACTTATGTTATGTTAGGCTGATTTAGAAATTATCATTGTAATTAGAAATATATAGGACAGGCAAAGGTAAATCTTTTTGCCACAAAAATATAAACTTATTTGGTAAAACTGCAATGACCTTATTTATGTGAGAAGAAATGTAACCAAATCATTTTGTAAGGTTTTGATATTCTTAGTCCACATTTGCTATCTTGAGAAATCTGCAGTTTAGTGGTATCTTCAACTGCCTATAAAACCAGTGCTAAATAAAACTTTGTAGCTCTTAATAATCCTGTGGACTGGCCTTCCTAGCCCCCAACCCTTAAAAACCAACCCCTGTAGCTCCTCCCTACCAGCTGACCCCCTTCTTTTTTACGGCCTTCTTGATTACACTTTTGACTCTTTCATTGACCTGATTCCCACAGGACCCACAGTCATGTTGTCTCTCCATCAAACATGCTTTCTATGGGACTAACTTTAGTATTGATTACAGAATCATGCTGATCATAAAAGACACAAGAAAATGTATTCTGTTTTGATTTCAGGAATTCAGAAAGCATTAGAACATGCTTAAAGAACAGGTCCACCCAAAACAGTTTTTTGTAGTTGCTGGAGGGTTCAGCCACTTCTTCTGGTCTCTATTGGTGAGATGTATACCTAAGTTCCCGGGTCTGCATACATGCTGTGGCCATTATAACAGGTTCCCACTCTCTCTCTCATCTGCAGAAAGATGGGTTGGAACCCTCAAAAGTAAGCAGGAACTCCCAGGTGTAAAGAAACAGAGAGCAGAGAGATCTTGCTGCTGGAATATTCATGGCATATAAGGAACCAGGGTCTATCTTAGCCTACCAGGTCCACCTATAATATTCTTTGGTGGACTGAATAATCATTTTTATTTAACATGCAAGTAGATGCCTTTATCCATAACACCATCTATACATATACCCATACATATTGGGTCCATAAAAGATAAGAAACACATTTAGTTCCATGAGGATCAGTACTGGTAGAGTAAAAAGAATTAATTATGACACTGCAAGGGATTTTATTGCTCACGATTAGCTATGTAAATATGTGATATCTAGTAAAATGCCTGTTGTTTATAGGAACATTTTAATATTAATCTGATTGACCATCAGTTTTAAATGAATATGTTGTCCTATTTCCATCACTGCTTTTATAGAGCATCCATTAAGAGCTCATGCAGAGAAATGTCCCTTTCAATATGAGTTATTTGTTTAACGTCTACCACAAATACTGATAATCTCAGGATTCCGCTAAATTCGTCAGCCATTATTTTCCATGGTGGGAATCTGCATGGAACTGGATTAAGTCCCAGTCTATTCTCCCATAATGCTCTCCAGCAACGTCTGGTGTTGCTGGGTGCCAGTGTATAGGTCTCTATAATGCTGTTTACTTTGCTGTCTTGATTGACTAGGCAGGATGTGGGCTCAGACATGAAATCTGCCTTAATGTTTTTATGCTGGTCTGATAACGTTTTAGTTGCAGCTCATAACATACATGTGTTAATGTACATGTTGATCCTTTTCTATAGACAGGTCTTTATTTTATGTGCATAGGTCATTGCATGGCTGTATATATTTTGAAGCAATATGCCAATTTTTTTTCAGGTTGGAGGTAAGTTTCATTTTTTTTATTTTGATGCTAACATAAGCAGTTTCTTCTGGTTCAAATACTGCCGGCAGTAGCAGAACTACCACCATAAAAGCTGTGCAATAGGTATGGGGACCAGCGCCGAGTAGTAGGGATCCCTGGAAGAGACTTCCCCACCTCACCATATTTTGTAAACCTGACAGACATATTTCAAGTATGTACTGGAGGCTAACTATAAGGGTTGGTGTGATAAGACTTACAGCATATGGCAGTATTTTATAGGTATTTTGTCCCTGTCCAACAGTAATATACACTGATCTGATCAGGGTGCTTAAAACTATATATGCATATCACAAACAAGTATAAACTACGCTTTAAAGGGACCCTATCGCCAGACAATATATTTAAACAAAAAAACTTCCCCTGAGATTATATTTGCCTTTAAGGTACTGTATTTTAAGCTTGTTATGTCTGTAAAATCCTCCTTGGGGAGTCATTCAAAATCCCTTAGACTAGGGATGCACCGATATGGACACTAGTATCGGTATCAGTGCCGATACCAAGTATTTGGGTGAGTACTCGTACTTGCCCAAATGCTCCGATACCTTTCCCGATACTGGAACTTCCGGTCAGAGGGAAATTTCCTCTGACCGGCAGTGCCTCGAGGGAACATGGAGCCGGGAAGCTTATCAGTATCGAGCTGGGCAAACAAATCTGATAATATGGTGACACGATCCCCACTCTGCAGACAAATCATTCCACTCACATAGATCCTTAGCAGCAGTCATTACCATACCTGTCCCTCGGCCAGCTGGGCAGACATCGCTCTCCAATCTCTCCGGGATCTGCCCACGTCTCCTGTGTGCACAGCGCCCACATGTTTGGCCCTCAGCCTGCTACTGTGCATGCACAGGATATCTGAATGAGAGCACATTCGCAGCAGCAGGCTGAGGGACGATCACGTGGGCACTGTACACACAGGAGACGTGGGCAGATCATGGAGAGCGGTGTGTGCCCAGCTGGCCGAGGGACTGGTACAGTAATGACTGTTGCTAAGGATCTATGGGGAATGAGGTGCCTGCAGGGTGGGGGTCGTGTCAACATATTGTCCGATCTGTTTGGCAAGCCTTGATGCCGATTGGCTGGGAAGCAGGCTTCCTGGCCAATCAGCATCGAGCTGGCCAAACAGAATAGAGTCTGCTTCCCGGGCAATCAAGAAGCCAGGTGGTGGGTAATGACATGCCGCCTGGCTTCCTGATTGCCCGAGAAGCTGGCTCTATGCTACCGGAAGTAGCGGTATCGGTACTCGGTATTGGCGAGTACTGAAATATAAATATCGGTACTCGATACCGAAAAAACGGTATCAGTGCATCCCTACCTGAGACTGCTGCTAGATTCCGCCATCTTGATTGTGATGTTAGCAGCTCCACCAGATTCAGAACTGTCACTCATGTGACACTCTGTCTTTTTCCCATTCGTGCCTCCCCAGCAGCAAATGAAAGTACAAAAATTCCGTCTGTCAAAGCGCTCCCTCCGGCCTCTTTTCTCCTATGCTTCAGCGATGTTATGTCTCTCGGTGTCCTCACATCCAATACAGTTTATTGGACGGGATGACTCGAGAATCCTAGACTTCTGCAGCGGAGGGGAAGAGAGGATAGATAGTCTAAGAGCAAACCAACTCCAAGGTTCATGTGAGTTTTTTTTATTTTAGTCTCTAGACAAAAAGAAGCAGTTAACCCTTGCACCGCGAGGGTAGTCTCACTTCATGGGTTCATAAACATTTTTCCCAGAGTTTTTCCTTAAAAGTTTGATAGGGAGGTGAGGGGAGGAGGAGCTAGACCACCATAGAGATTAATTAGACACTCCCAGAGGAAGAATGGGCTAAGATGTTCTCAAGGTTTGCTAGGAAATTGATTCTCCTGGTGTAGTCACATTTTCTAGCAAGTTGAGTATAAACTCAAACAGACAGCTAATCAATGATTAGATTAGCTGTCTGTTTGATCTGTGACTATACCCTTATAAGTATTGTAAATGTAATTATTTACAATGGTCACATTTAAAAAATAAACTTAAAAAACAAAAATATATAATTCTGGCATAACTACAGACACCATAAGATGGCAGCATATACCAGAACCTCTTTAAAGTAACATTGGTCCCAAGAATACCCTGGATCTTGCCTGAAAAGCCTTTGCTTCATTGGTGAAAGATAGACACACCTCACCCCACAGAGGTCTGCCATGTGTAAGAAGGGGGTAGTGTGTACCAATTCTACAATCAAGTACTGGGTAATATTAGCATGCTAAATGTGCAATGGTCTATGTGCCACCCTAAGGGCAGTTTTGAATTTGTTGTGGTATGCTCTGACACATTGTGTTATCTAAAGTTGTTTCATAGTTTTGATTATTTATTTATTAATTGATGTATTTATCAAGGCCAGGTCTTTCTCACTATCTGGCACCTAGGCCAAGAGAGACTTGCTCATATGACACATTTTCTTTTAGCTAAGACAGTACTGTCACCCTAAGTATCCTTATGGTGGAAGGCCGAGAAATGTTGTTTCAGCTGCAATGTGGTACAGGAGAATTTAATGATCTCAGTTTGGTGAATAATTTGGGTGAAAGACTATTCTTGGTGTGACAAGTCCTGTTAGGGATAGTGTGGTCTCCCCCACCAGTCTCTACAGTGACAGTAATGGCCCAGTGGTGGATTGAACACCATTCCACTCCATCAAACATAGAGAAAGACGTTTTGGATGGAATTGATGCACAAGCAGAATCATACATTATAAAATATATTTTATTATTTTGTAAAATTCTATATTTTTAACTCTACCTCAGGTTAATTGGCTAATTAAAATGAAACAAATGACCCTATATGTTCCAAATACAAAGCCTTCCCACACAGGGGGAGGGGGGCTCCACACTAATGCTCATTATTTTGTAATGGGATATCCAACTAACTCACTTAGGTGTGACAGTCAGGTATCTAGAAATGTTTACAATGAGCATCATCTGTAGATATAATAGTTTTTAGGAAACCATAATGAGTAAAAAAAAATATTTTTGGGTGTATATTTTTTCAGATTTGCTAGATTTGGCAAAATGGTTGAGCAATTTTCTGCCTAAATAAAAACCATTAAAGCTGAAAACCTGAAAAGTGTTGCTTAGCTGCAGATACACATTAGCAACACACTCCTGTGCCGGGTTCTGACTCCCAGCTCCCAAAGGGCTCGGCTCCACCTTACAACAGCACATAAATAAGGAAAAATCTGCCTATTCTTTCCTTAAACCACCAAAGGGGGAATC